TCATCGATCACTGCAGAGGCCTTGCTCTCCAGAATAAAGATACTTGGCATAAATATACGAGTTTACAAGACTATGTTGAAAAAACGTTTTTTTCTTACTAGAAGTAGCATGGATAATTTCATTAAAAAACCATTTCTACATTGTAACCCATTCAAAATTCGCCTCAGTAACAGTTTGACAATTTATCGTTACCCACCAACTTGTAGATACTCCCAAAACATGAAATGATCTTCAAATGGGCTCAGGTCGAAATCAATTTGATAATCCTCGTTTTCTTCCTTTTTGTTCTTTTTCCTCATATAAGTCTTGTAACGGTACTTGAGGTACCTAGATGCATATGCAACAAGCAAGAACATAAATATGAGATCTTATTGGAAGTGGATGAGAGGGAAGGGATTAAGTAAGTAAATGAACAAATATATATTAAATAGATGAATAAAGGTACGTTGTAATACCAGGGCACAGCCCTATCCAATATAACCTCTGAAAGCTTTAAAGTCCGTCTCCCAGCCACCAACGTGTTGAGCAAAAAGACACAAAGAGAGATAGTTACAAGTATCGTACGCAGTCCGCATGAGTCGGGACGGTACAATATCCCGGCCCATGCTTATAGCAAAAGATTGGGGCGAAAACCCTAATATATTATAGCAAGAGACGTATATCCGGATTTGCAGTTTGAATTCTACTAAGCTATCCCCTATCTTATTAAAAGTAGTAACCGTCTTTGGTACTTACGGGATGGCAACCTCCATGATAATTCCAATGATTTGTTGTCCAACCATGAGAATAAGAAGCTGAACGCAAAGCTCAAGAAAGCACCCTTGCTCACTACACCCATCCAATCGAAATTTCTCAGCGATTCGCTCGTATTTTCCCGGAGTTCCAATTACACGCTCAGACTTGAAAAATGCGATGTAAAAGACAGAGGCGTACGTGTTTGCAAATTGAAACAAGTACATTTTCCAGGTGAAGCTGTATTCATAGGCGCTATGAGTTGGGGGATTTTCAAAGTTTGTTAACCACAAGGCAAGTTTGTTGTAGACGAACTTCATCAAGTTGATAGCAACAAGATTAAGGAAAGCTGCTGTCGCTGAAGTAATGATTCTGGCCCTGGTGTGTATCATTCTGTCGGAATGACCACTAAGAGATGCAAAAACAGCAGCTCGGTATATAATGACACCTACGACCGCTGCGATGACCAAAGCGATCATGGTTAGCACCAACACGACGACAGCGCTTAAACGGCTGTACTTCTCGAACTTAGGAATTCTTATCTTCTTCTTTCCTGTGAGCTTATTCTTCGTGATATAACGGGAGGCTGGAAATTCTGGGCGCAAGAGCTCTTCCTCTTCTTCTAAGCTATCCATGTTCCACTCATAAGCTAGTATTCGCTGACGACGTTTTCACAACTCAAGAAACAGGGTTCCCCAGATCGATGCAATCACGGCCAGACCAACTGTCCAGTCGTTGTCAAAGAAGTGGGTAACATAAGCATACACGCATGTAGTAGATGCGAGATCCCAGTAGCTACACTTCTTGTCGCACAATGGACACATGTACCATTTTCCCTTGTTATTTTCATCACAGACATCTTTAACGGGGATGTGATCACCAGCAGAACCGATTCCATACAGGAACACGATTAAACCGATGATGGCCAGCGGAGCTAGCATTCCCGTGTAGAACCCAACCCAAGCGAAATACATAGCAATCTCACTTCCAAAGTATTTGTTGATTGCGTCATACGGCTGGTATTTACACAATCTTCCAGGCCTGGCACAGTCACGTTTGAGACACTGACGGTCATTCTTGGGGGTTTTGTCGCGTTCAAGAACATCAAGGCCATCATGAAGTGGGTATGCTGCTACGTAAGCGCCACTGAGAATCAAATTTTCCAACCCAACATCCACTTCCTCCGTCTTATCTTCTGACGGGTTTTCCTCCGCTGGTTCCGTTTGATCATCTGCTGGCCCCCTTTCCGCCGAGCCCGTTTGGTCATCTAATGGCTTTATTTTACCATCTGATGCACCAAAGTAAGCGCTTTTGCAGATTCTCTGCACGATGTACACACGGTCGATATTATCAAAGAATTCCTCTATGTGGTCATTCTTGACGAACTTCTCAAAGCGATCTTGCCTGAAGTTTGCCGTGAAGAAATCTTCTCGAGCTTCAAAGGTAGGATCTTGGATCACTAACGGGTTTCTCTTATCCTTAAGCTTCGTCTCAAGCCAAGACTTCTTGATTTCAACGTCATTCTCTTTAAAGGGAACTTTTAGATGCATTTCTTCAGCGTGTTTGGCCAACACGGACCATGGAGCATGAATAAGAACAAAATGTCGTTTGATTAGAGGGCGCTGAAAGTAAAAGCAAGCACATAACCAAAGTGCCCTCATAATAAAGAAGCTCATTCCCAATAATAATCTGATGATATCAATTTAACTTTTGGATATAAAAGAAAAATGCCACCTCAGAGTAAGATGTCGATGAGGCGGAGCACATTGCGTTTAATTAACTCTTGATATTTTTTCGGGTAGAATAAGTTATGGAAAACGAGAAGTTTTCTGAAGATTTGGAGTTCTTTAAAATTCAACTTTACACCTAATGACTGATCCTGGGGAAACAGCTAATTATTCGGTGTGTCCAGAGGCGGAGCCGAGGGATACATTGAGATTAGAGGAAAAACAAAATCAACTGTTTCCCGAGGGATCAGCATTTAAGTGATTTGTTTCTTGCCGGAAATTCATTAAGGTGTCAAAGTTTGGAATAAACATGTACTTGGACAGGTGTTAAGAAAACAGCTTACTTTTCAGGATCGCAAGAAAGAAAAAACACCAAAATTTTTTTAGCAACGAAAACTTGATGAAATATGATATTAAGTTTTATTTGAACTCAAGCATACAGCAAATTACTTTTAAGGCGATTGAAAAATATTGGGAAGGTCTCCAAAAAACTGTATCGAAACACCTCGAACCTCGCTGTAACGGCGGTCTTCGGTCAACATTACGGAACTTAAGCAAAGACGATTTTGAGCGACGCACGTCAACCGGACGTCTACTTTTTGCATCCTTTGACATTGGTTTAATTTTGTCCAAATTTTCGAGCAAATCGTCTTTATAAGAGTTAAGAAAACTAACAACACAAATTTGGTTCGGACGTGCACGCAAACTCATATCCCCAACGTGGTACAAGAGGGGGGAGCCTTGATGGACCCCCACCACCCGCCTTGACTTTTTTAATATGTTGCAGTATTTTGAAACGATTTTGCCTTCAGTGGATCTTTGATCTTTGATCTTCTCTACAAGATGACGGATATTTCATGGGTGGTGGCGCTGCTGGAGGTCTGTGACGTCACCAAACATGGTTGTCTTCGTGGACGCCATCTTTGATTTTTTCAAGAATTAGAAATCAGGTAAAAACAGTGAGAAGTAACAATTTTTTGCGCTTAACGTTTAAATCAATATATAAATAAATTACTTTGCACCATTTTATCCACAAGCTTTACTTTTATTCCTGAAAGAAGTTGAGAAAACATGCATTTTCACTCAAAAATGGCTTGACCACCTGCTGGTTATGATGTCGTATCTTGTAACCATAGATAAACGAACAGTTACAGAAAACGTCAGGTGCTGACGTATTATCGCCTTGGAAAAAAAATCAGGAAAAACCTTAGGAGGGGTGCCCCCACCCTTGTACATCCGAGGGTTAACAGGGAAAAGACCCCAGTTCCGTTTGACGTGCGGCCCTCAAAAATGTTCTTGCTTAAATTCTCTGTTGGCGGGTAAATTGCACTGTTACTCTCTAAAATCATAGATTTTGCAGTTTCGCCCACTGAGATTTTGGCGGGAAACAGTTCATTGTTAAATTTCATGTGACCTCGAAGTAACCATTGAGAACGCGCGCTTTTGGGAAAAAATTTCCAGCTATATAACAATAGAATTTGAAGTAAAAAATTTGTAGACAAAGACCATATAGTCAACCACCATAACAACGGTGCCACTGACATCTGCTGATTTTTGTGTATTAAATTTGATAATGTAAGAAATACTTTTGAAACAAAAGAAATTGAAATTTTGACTAAGATAAAAATGAAGCATAACAGATACCTTCTACAGCCATGAGGAAAAAAAAAAGAACGGATAAAAAGAAAAAGAAAGGAAATTGGCCAAAATGCCTCCTTGAACGTAAAATGTTGATAACCTTGAAATGTATCTGCCATCTAACCGGAAGCAAATACTGCTCGAAGAAGAGGCTTGGTAATTGACAGTACTCAAGCGCTTTTTAGACAAGTATAGCACGGGTAAAGTGTGACGTTGTAGCCTTCTAGGCTGGTGAACAGTGGAAATATTTAAGACTTCTTTATATTGCAATCAACGAGCGCAAGAGTGAGTCAAGGCGTAAACAAGAGTATTTCCAACGTCGAGGTAAGATACTTGCAAAGTCACCGAATGTCATACAAATGACAACGTAGGCAGTGTGAAATGTCACTTGGTGATAAGACAACGTACTGCTGAAACCTTAACTTACACGTCGCAGTTGTACTAAATTGGACGCTGATCACAAATTCAATTGATCGACTTACCCTAGAAACCTGTTTATGAGGTTGAATGCCCTTGGCACGGTCTTGCGTGATGGCAAATTGTCTTCTCAATTCTCGCATCAAGTCCTACAAAATTCGTATTTAAAAAAGTGCTGTAAAAGTCCCTCAGCGGCCAAATCCTAGACAGGTGTTTCGTAAATTGGTAGGTCGAGTTTTCTTCAACAAAGTGGAGGGAATATAGGTGCCGAGAGAGCAAAAATAATGTCATCATGAAGAGTATGAAAAGGGGGGTAAGTTGATGGATAGAAATTGAAATAAAGTCGAAAGAATGCTGTAAATTCCATTATACAATAGAATTTAAACAAATTCATTCTTCTTTTTTTCTAGCTGTTTCAATTGATATGAAGACTTAATAAGTTTAACTTGGAGAAGTGCGAGGCAACGGATCAAACACTGTTACAGAGGAGTTGTAGACAGCACTGAAACCTGCTCAATGTTTACAGGCTAGCTGTTAGAACCAGTTTGAGAAATAAAAAGTTATTATACCTTTAGCCAATCACTAATTATAATGTCTCGCAGAATGTCGAGTTTACTGAGCTTTCTGTGAGGTAAATGCCACCATGTAATTTTTTTAGGAACGGCTTACCAAATCACGGCTGGTTTCTTGTGGATCAGGGGAATCCAGTTCCAGACCAGCTTCTTTCAGGCTCGTTTCAAATCTTTTCCTCATGTTTTCGTGGTTTCTGGCCCTTGTCTTGAAAGTTGGGATTTTATCTTCTTCCTCCTGACATGTCTCATAGACAAGAACATAGTCGATTTTCCGCTTCGCATTTGTCCTATGCTCCTCTACAAACAAGCGATCACTTTCCTCGTCGCCCGTGTAGACAGGTGGGTCGTCCACATCTATTCGTACAGTTTTGGTGTCCGGTGAGGCCATGCTGAAGTCTTTGATAGTTATTACAAAACGGATGTTTTTCACTCAGTATATACATGTTTACGTTGGGGAGACAGGAAACCACAAACATTTGGAGCTTGCACCTGTAGGACATTCCTACCTGAGGCAAAGCGGAACCGGAACGAATAAATGAAGGCATAGCTCCCTGCTCTCAACTGTTTAGTATAGTGCGAGGTTGAACTTGTCCAATTCCACCTAACTCCATACATAATGACCCGAACATTAAATGAATTAATGCCGACTTATCGATCAAAAACGGTTTTTAAGTCCAACGATCATCTACCGCTAATACCTCCCTCCTGCGCATATACAGGTGCCTTACACCAGCGGAAGTCTTAAACGCAGCGTGAAGGCAACTTGATATGTTACTACTTCGCTAACTGTAACAAGTACTAAATAAACGAACAAGAAAATGGCATCGGAGACTATTTGAAACGGGACTCTTAGTTTTCTTGGCCCCCTGCAAAACCATACGGCTCGTGAGTAAGAATAATTTAAAGTTTTCAAGAATAAACTGTTCTTACACATATCCTCACTTTTAATGGGTCCTGAACTAAAATGAAACCCTTGAAGAAGGTATTACTCTTTAACTTCGTGGCTTTTTTTTCTGTATTTTCTTGGACATTTATAAAACTCACAATGAAAGGAATCGAAACTTCCTGCAAAATATTTGACTGAAAACAGGAAAGATTTTGCGGATGCAATAACTTGCCAACGAACCGTAGAACCTTACAGGATGTGTGATTGAAATGTTTTTTACGTATTTGTTTGTTCGGCATTAAACTAAGCTAATTGCAAACTGTACAACAATATGTTTATAAGGATCACACGTCTGCTCGCGATTACACTCAGCACGCTTTTATTGCGGACAAACTTGGGGGAAGGGAGATGTAGATTACGCCAATATACTGCGATGCGAGTGAAGTTGTGAATATATCATCATTCACCTGTGCAACTATCGGAAAAAATTATATTTAACGCGTGAAAGATCAAGTGAAAAAATACAGTTTCCTTTAGCATTTAAGTCCGTTTAATTAGCTCCGTGAGGCAAGAGGATAAAAACCAAGGTTGAAAATTATTTCCAATAAAAAAGGATAGCGGACACGAGTAATTTTTTTTGAAAATTCATAAAATTCAAAATACAAATACAAAAAGAAAACCTTTATAGGGCCAATCTGTTGTCTCGGCGAAATACCCATACGATTAATACAGCCACATTTTTATGGCCTGAAATTAGTGGCCGTATTCAATGTTTGATAACGGGGTTTTTTTAAGGGCGGGTTAAGAATGCCGAAAGGCATGAGGCAAAATCAGCTGGCGAGGAATTTATGTCATGTCGGGGCTTCGATACACAAATAAAGCTGCAGAGTTAGAGACCATTGCTCTGCCGGACCATTCGGCTACACTGCCTCTGTAGTGACTAAATCGCAGCTGATGCATCTTAGTACCCTGCTACTCCCTGCGCTTGTGTATATCTACGTGTGTTCGTTTGCTTGTTTGTCTGTTTTTTCTAACCACTTTCCAACTTTTTCGACGAACTCGCGCCGAAAAGCTTGCAACACAGGCTACAATCGAAACATTTTCTTTTGAAGCATTATGTAACATCTAATTATTTATTATACTTAAGATGATGATTTGAAGTTACAAAAGGATGTTAAATCCGCACACATAGTGCTTTCGAGACGTTTATCGTGAATGAAATATCCACTTATATCTCTGGAATGTGTCGCCATGTTTAAACAAAAATATGTACGAAATGCATCGTAGTTTTCTTCAAGCGTGAGGCGGGCAAGGCAGCATCTTTTATCCTTGTATAGCGACATGGATTTCGATTTTGGTTCACTTTGAAGTCCGGCAAAAAACGCCAACTGTATACTCGAGCGATTTGGATTTTCAGCTATATCGCTACGGCAACCAGATTAAAGTGAAAGTGTGATTACGGCCTCAAAGGAGAAAGAGAAAACGTTTCGTTCGTTCCTAAGTTAACTCATATCCTTTCCAGTCGGGTGCATAAGGGGACCCAAGGCGTGACAAAAGACTTTCCGAAACGCTAGGATGATTCATTTCAAATACATCTGAAACTATCCATAACAGGTTTTATTAGCAGTTTACAAATTTCAAGCTAAAATTTGAGGATTCCACAAACCAGCATTATTCAGTCACAGGCAGCAAGGTATGCATTATATAAGCCATACAGCGAGATGAACTTATTGTATCTGTATTGAACGAGAACTAGAAAACTAATTAAGTAATGAAATGGAAACTGCCATAACGACAGCGCTTATTCACAATTCAGGGGCACCCAACGTCAATTTTCGGAAAATATCTGTTCGGAAGACGATTTGAGATCTAGAATTTTCGGAACATTTGTTGTAAAATTTCTGGCTTGCCTGCCTCTCCTAGGATTTTCGAACATCTAAAAAATGGTATAATTACCCATTTTTAACAGATTTTTACCCTAAAAAGGTCACCTAGAATTTTCAGGAGCCTTTTTTCTGGCTGACATTTTCGAAAAGGTAAGTTTTGATCCCTATAATTTTCGAATCACTAGACTTTCAGCTAGGAAATCCGAACAGATAAAAATTTTTAGGGGATATAAAATATATGCCTTTATCTACCGTTTAAATACTAAAATACGTTTAACAATGCTATGTTTAACTGGTTTTGAACTATATTCTCGTTGGGTTCCCCTGACGATTATCTCCACGCTTCTCAAAAAAACTTTATAGAAGAATTATTTCCTACAACCACGTGAGTTGCGTATTCAACAATTATATGAGGTTATGAGAAGATCAAACCTGATTATCGCACTAAACAGGCCCGCAGCTAGGCAATAACGCAGCTCTGCGGCCTTTGTTTGTTTTTTTTCCTTGTCTACCCCCCCTTCCCCTCTCCCCTGGTTGGTTGGCTATGAATAAAACCCTCATCAAAAAAACTCAGTCACGTTTGACGTTTAAAAAACTCCGCAACTGTTATAACACCTTCGTTCAGGTAAATGTATAATAAGATGTGACTAAATAGAAAGTTTAAAGAGGTAAGGTAAAGCGACCAAAGGAATGAAATGATGGTCTCTGTTTACATATCGTCTAATATAGTTGACTCCCGATAACTCGAACCCTCGCTAACTCGAGCCTCGCGCTAACTCGGAGTAACTTTTGTTTCCCTTCAGATAGATAAATTTACCCTCGATAACTCGAACCATTCTTTAAGCGCCTGACAAGTCGGGAAAAAAAGTGTACCGCAGGCCGAAACATTGAAATTATTTTAACAACCACATAGTCTTTGTCTTTACTTTTTGTCAGTCCAGTTTAATTTCTGTGTCCAGTGTTGCGTATTTATCAAGCTTTGAAGTGTGCATGTTACTTGCATTCATTTTCATCCCATTTTCTTATTTCCGGTATTTGCTTCGAACTTCCGATAACTGGAACTTACGCTAGCTCGAACTTTTTTCAATTTCCTAATTGGTTCGAGTTATCGGGAGTCGACTGTAGATTTAGAATGCACACCTACATAAGACAAGAAACATTGTGTGAATTCAAGAGTGAGTTTGTCCCTATGACGACATCTAATGACAGGCAGGGTGTTTGAAAACAAGAGTAAACCAATAAGGAGCTTCATTTTGATCTGATTGAGACTCCAAACTAAAGATTATTTATTACAGCCCTTTTGAATACATCTTTCAGAGAATTAACCACAACCAGGCCAATTATGTCACATATAATATATATCAACAAATAGTACATACTAACTAAACAGGAAATGTTACTTTGGGAGCGTTGCTATTGCATAATTCATTGTTCACTGTAGACATCCAATCCGTTTTCACCTTGCAGCGGCTGTAGAGAAAATAAAGTTATTTCAATGTGAAGAATTTGTACTAAAAAAACTAACCTGCAAATGAAACCGGGCTGACCTACCTCGGTTGCTTTTCCCGCGTTCTCGGCCCCTTTAATATTGACAAAGCCTGTCCTAGGTAGAAGGGCTACCCTCCCCTCCCAGCCGGCGAGTCAACCTTGGGGGCCAGGGCGGCTCTGGTAGACGGGTGACCCTCCCCCCTAGGACAACTTTTCTCCATGTAAACGGGCATAAAACCCGGCTCAAACGTTGCATTACACATGAACCCAATATCATGCAATTGAGATAGAACAATAGATTTCCCTCATTGGCATTACATTTCGGCCAAGAGAGGATAAAGGGGACAGAGAAGGCATCCTCCATACACACGTTATTCCAAAGGTAATTCGTCTGGAGTTATTTTTAAGACAACAGATCCCAAGGGAGATTAGACAACAGCCAATCTTATAGTGCGAATGTGTTCCGCGTGGATGACCCACGCTCAGAGCAACGCGTCCTTCACGAATTGAGGCAGAAAAAAATGGCGGAAGACGCGGGGAGCAGTATTGCTATTCGTTTTGTCGACGAAAACGACTAAAGAGAGATTTCTGCTAAAGCTGTGTCAGCGAAACGGAAATTAAAAGAGAATCGCCGTTCCTCTTTTGTATAGAGCTAACAGTACAGCAGGGAAATCCTTAACACAGTGAATATTCTCTCAGGATCATTTATAATTTACAGATTGAAGAGAGCAATTTCTGGTTTGATATTTATTCTTTTATTAGACACTTAATGTCCTATAACAATAATAATAATAATAATAATAATAATAATTTAATAACTTCTAGAGCGCTATTTACATTAACTGATCAACAGCCCTTAACAACTTAAAAATTAAAAACTACAATAAAATTCAAATTTGTAAAACTAATTACATGTACATGAATATTACTTGCTACTTGCTTTATTGTACAAACGACCGGTTTCAATAGACCGGCGAAATTTCTCATTTTATTGAAGCACTGAGGTGACGATAACTTCGAGTTAAACTGATTTCACGGGTTGTCAAAGAGTCGAGCGATTCCCTTTTCCCAGGTGAGCGCCGACTCATTTCGCTTCAATATTCAGAAATGCTCTCGATCTCTTTACGCTTTCATTGCCTTTCGCCCGACATGTTTTGCATGGCGTTTGGTCTTGCGAAACCTCCACGAAACATCCACGCAGCGCGCGAGGTAACTTTATCCCGGTTCTAAAAATAACTCGAGACGAATTACCTATGGAATAGGGTGTGTATGGGGGATGCCTTCTCTGTCCCCTTTATCCTCTCTTGATTTCGGCACAAGTGCAATGCGACGTCTACATCGAGCCTAAGGTTAAAAAGCGTGAAATGAAAAAAAAAATAATGATAATAATTGAGAGCTAACCTCACTAGGCGACCACTGCTAAATCTCCATCGTCAATATCTTCGACTCCTCGCTGTTGAAGGGATTCCTTAGCCAAAAACTCCTCGCGTTTTATTTTCAGCTCTAGTAGTTTTGGTCGGTCAGGTACAAGCCACGCAACAAACTTGGTGCAAGCGTACACGACGTACTGGAAAACAAAGACGAATGCCAGCCTGGCGGCAATCACGTGCCAGTACTCTTTCGTCACGGCATATGGAGCATGTGGCTCGTGGTAACCCGGATATCTACCAAAAAAATACGCACACACATACACAGGTGAGCAACGTTGAAAATCCAAACGATGTAAACAAAATTTGTTATTGTAATCTCAAAATCAGCTAACCCTCATTCCATTTGAATAATCCCTGTTTTACTGTAAAATATGAACTTGACCGATGGGAAGCCTCGAAATGTTCTTTTCACGATGGATGATAAAGCCAAGTAACTCACCCACCGACAGAATACAACAGAATCAAGAGAACCCTTCTAATGCCTACCTACAAAAATCCATGGTGTAGTTTAGTTCTTGGTAAGCGTACTTATCGTCGGGTTCTCCTGTCAAATTCAGTGTATCCCAGTCTGATACATTGAAGTAAGACAAGCTATTGTTCACGTAACCGGCGAGTGTACCGTCTGCACTGTACGAGTTGCGGTAAACCAGTCTAGGAATGAATTCAGATGTGAACGCGAGCACAAATGCGTTCACTAAGACAGACAGGTTTGCAATGCCCTCCATGATTCGGTACCAGGCTCCAATGTCTTGAGCTCGGTCCGCAATCGGTCGTCGAAACTGGCAGACAAAATTGACGGCGTCCACACGCAGCTCTATAGCACAGTTTAATAAGGCAAAGAGCGGAGCGAGAGGGAATGCTGCGACAAACATGGTCACAAAACCAAACTGTAACACTGAAAGAAAAAATATAACGTCGTCAACAATTTAAAACAGAAGGGCGAATTGACCGGGGAATGATTTTACAATCAATGGTGCACAGAATGTTGCATCACACACCATAAAAACCTACATGTCATTATAAATTTAAGAAGAAACAGTCTTAACTCTTCGTTAAGCGGGTATATTCGGCCATCTACTCCTCATTAAGACGAGATCTCAACACCTATTTCACAAGCACACTTGCTGGGATGACGCTTAAGGAGTCCAAGATCTTCTTCAACGTAGTTACTCAGTATTAAATTGGTAAGTTAAGGTAAGAGACAATTCAACAAAAAGCAAAACCGAATTCTAAATTTTAGCGTTGTTTGCATCATTAACATCATCATTTTTATCATTAATTACCCAATACTGATCATCATCATCATCATCATCATCATCACCATTATCATCGTCAACGTCTTATCAACGTCATCGTCATCATCAACGCCATTATCATCATTATTATTACTATTACTTGCACATATATATCAGTCCTGATGCGCACTTACCGACTTCCAAATATTCCCAAAACATATAATGTTCCGGTAAAGGGCTCAATTTGTAGTCTTGCTCCCACTGAGGAATATCCGAACTTTCCTTTGCTGCTTGACGCATCTTCCACCACTTCATTAAACCACTTGATAAAACAATGAAACACAAAAACAAATTTCCCGCGAGTAAGTGAACATGTTCAAGAGAAGAGTTGGGGAGGCAATCGAAATATTTTGTTGGGCTCCAACATTGAACAAAGACGCTGGTTACGAGCTCCCCGTGATCTATCGAGACGTTATGTCACGTGATTCATAGTCTAATCACGTGACACAACGCCCAAATCCATCACTTGATAAAGTTTCCGCGAGGGAAACGAAAGCTTGTGTGTAAGTTTTTTCGTATCCTGTAAATTGAATCATCGTTTATTGTATCACTACGACAGGATTAAGTAAACCAACTATCTTTTCGCTAAGTATGTGAACATGTTTTTGTTACTAAGCAATTGTAAAACTTCTGGATGTTTACAAACGCCAATACCTTATGGCTGTTAACCAACACCGTCACCCAACACTTAAAAAAATCCCGGGATATTTTATTGATCAGGAAACCCTAAGGCCGAACGGTTCGTAAAATACTAGAGGTTCCAACGGATATTGAACCCTGTCAGTAAAAAAGAGCTAAAGAAAAAGATGGTGTTACGCTCGTGACATGCTGATTATTCGCCTCCCACATTCAAAATATTTCTGTAATTCATACAGTACGCTATCGACGTTACTGACCCAGCAGTATTCAGGACGCTTGTCAAATATCAGGTCATGCACTCTCCATTACGGCCTCTCTGCAGCTCAGTGAATTGAGCGCCTGTCCAGTGTTCGGAAGGTCACAGGTTCGAATCCTGTTAGGGACTCTTTGCCCCGCGCCTCTGAACCTTTACATTCACCATCTTTTTTTGTTTTATTGAGAAACAGACCAATTACTTTTTTTCAATTGTTATAGGTTTTGAAGGAACATATTACTGTCTTATCACAAGAAAAATCTTAGGCCAAGTTCAAGCGTTGATCTTTTCATGTACCGAGCCTAATACAAATTTAGGTCGACCCAAACAAGTGATACAAGTTCGACGGTTGATTCAGACATCGAACTGTATTAGTCGGACCTAATTCATTTACACGATGCCCAATGGTTTAAAAACTTACAAGAGAAATTAAATTTTAGTAATTTATACTTAAGGTTCGGCACATAAAAAGTTCGACGTTTGAAACGAAGTCGCTTCACAGTCACAGTCAATTCCCATGTGGGCCATTCGATCTTAATTCATCTGTCGACCCAAATTAGACATCTCGGATTTAATCGATTCAAACGTCGATCTCTTCATGTGCTTAATTGGAGGGATTAGGTTCGGTACATGAAAAGATCGACGTTTGAACTGGGCCTTACGCTCCTCAACACGAAATGTTTTTAGCGCAAAAAGGTGGAAATATTTTATTTTCTTTAAAGAAACAAGACCTCTGACTTTTTTAAGTTTGAAGACCCGGTTAGCCCTCTCGCACTACTATAGCGAACATATTGTTAAGGTCGTCAAAGGTCTCCTCACGTACTTCATATCTGACCTGTGATTAAAGCCTGTAGTATCTTTATACTCACGGTATGGCTATTTCAGTAATATTACCAATAATCTGTTGACCGACCATGATGATCACCAGTTGAATGCACAAGTCCAACAGACAACCCCCTACACCACACCCATCCAACCGGTTTCCATCCTTGCCTCCTATTCTGCGGTAATTACCGGGTGTGCCGATCACCAGGTTCAACTTGAAGAAAGCAATGTAAAATATGGACGAATAGGTGTTGACAAACTGGAATAGAAACATCTTGTAGGTGAAGCTGTCTTTGTAGTCCGTTTCGGTGCGAGGTCCAATTATGTCACATATAATATATATCAACAAATAGTACATACTAACTAAACAGGAAATGTTACTTTGGGAGCGTTGCTATTGCATAATTCATTGTTCACTGTAGACATCCAATCCGTTTTCACCTTGCAACGGCTGTAGAGAAAATAAAGCTTTTTCAATGAGAAGAATTTTTGTACTAAAAAAAAACTAACCTGCAAATAAGACCGGGCTGACCTACTCTCGGTTGCTTTTCCCGCGTTCTCGGCCCCTTTTATATGGACAAAGCCTGTCCCAGGTAGAAGGGCTACCCTCCCCTCCCAGCCGGCGAGTCAACCTTGGGGGCCAGGGCGGCTCTGGTAGACGGGTGACCCTCCCCCTCCAGGACAACTTTTCTCCATGTAAACGGTCATAAAACCCGGCTCAAACGTTGCATTACACATGAGCCCAATGTCATGCAATTGAGATAAAACAATAGATTTCCCTCATTAGCATTACATTTCGGCACAAGTGCAATGCGACTTCTAAACCGAGCCTAAGGTTAAAAAGCGTAAAATAAAATAATAGTAAAAAAAATTAATAATTAAGAGCTAACCTCACTAGGCGACCACTGCTAAATCTCCATCGTCAATATCTTCGACTCCTCGCTGTTGAAGGGATTCCTTAGCCAAAAACTCCTCGCGTTTTATCTTCAGCTCTAGTAGTTTTGGTCGGTCAGGTACAAGCCACGCAACAAACTTGGTGCAAGCGTACACGACGTACTGGAAAACAAAGACGAATGCCAGCCTGGCGGCAATCACGTGCCAGTACTGTTTCGTCACGGTATATGGAGCATGTGGCTCGTGGTAACCCGGATATCTACAAAAAAAATACGCACACACACACACACACAAGTGAGCAACGTTGAAAATCCAAACGATGTAAACAAAATTTGTTATTGTAATCTCAAAATTAGCTAACCCTCATTCCATTTGAATAATCCCTGTTTTACTGTAAAATATGAACTTGACGGATGGGAAGCCTCGAAATGTCTTTTCACGATGGATGATAAAGCCAAGTAACTCACCCACCGACAGAATACAACAGAATCAAGAGAACCCTTCTAATGCCTACCTACAAAAATCCATGGTGTAGTTTAGTTCTTGGTAAGCGTACTTATCGTCGGGTTCTCCTGTCAAATTCAGTGTATCCCAGTCTGATACATTGAAGTAAGACAAGCTATTGTTCACGTAACCGGCGAGTGTACCGTCTGCACTGTACGAGTTGCGGTAAACCAGTCTAGGAATGAATTCAGATGTGAACGCGAGCACAAATGCGTTCACTAAGACAGACAGGTTTGCAATGCCCTCCATGATTCGGTACCAGGCTCCAATGTCTTGAGCTCGGTCCGCAATCGGTCGTCGAAACTGGCAGACAAAATTGACGGCGTCCACACGCAGCTCTATAGCACAGTTTAATAAGGCAAAGAGCGGAGCGAGAGGGAATGCTGCGACAAACATGGTCACAAAACCAAACTGTAACACTGAAAGAAAAAAAATAACGTGGTCAACAATTTAAAACAGAAGCGCGAATTGACCGGGGAATGATTTTACAATCAATGGTGCACAGAATGTTGCATCACACACCATAAAAACCTACCTGTCATTATAAATTTAAGAAGAAACAGTCTTAACTCTTCGTTAAGCGGGTATATTCGGCCATCTACTCCTCATTAAGACGAGATCTCAACACCTATTTCACAAGCGCATTTGCTATGATGACGCTTAAGGAGTCCAGACATAGTTACTCAGTATTAAATTGGTAAGTTAAGGTAAGAGACAAATCAACAAAAAGCAAAACCGAATTCTAAATTTTAGCGTTGTTTGCATCATAAAGATCATCATTTTTATCATTAATTACCCAATACTGATCATCATCATCACCATCATCATCGTCAACGTCATATCAACGTCATCGTCATCATCAACGCCATTATCATCATTATTATTACTATTACTTGCACATATCTATCAGTCCTGATGCGCACTTACCGACTTCCAAATATTCCCAAAACATATAATGTTCCGGTAAAGGGCTCAATTTGTAGTCTTGCTCCCACTGAGGAATATCCGAACTTTCCTTTGCTGCTTGACGCATCTTCCACCACTTCATTAAACCACTTGATAAAACAATGAAACACAAAAACAAATTTCCCTGCGAGTAAGTGAACATGTTCAAGAGAAAAGTTGGGGAGGCAATCGAAATATTTTGTCGGGCTCCAACATTGAACAAAGACGCTGGTTACGAGCTCCCCGTGATCTATCGAGACGTTCTGTCACGTGATTCATAGTCTAATCACGTGACAAAACGCCCAAATCCATCACTTGATAAAGTTTCCGCGAGGGAATCGAAAGCTTGTGTGTTAGTTTTTTCGTATCCTGTAAATTGAATCATCGTTTATTGTATCACTACGACAGGATTAAGTAAACTAACTATCTTTTCGCTAAGTATGTGAACATGTTTTTGTTACTTAGCAATTGTAAAACTTCTGGATGTTTACAAACGCCAATACCTTATGGCTGTTAACCAACACCGTCACCCAACACTAAAAAAATCCCGGGATATTTTATTGATCAGGAAACCCTAAGGCCGAACGGTTCGTAAAATACTAGAAGTTCCAAAGGATATTGAACCCTGGCAGTAAAAAAGAGCTAAAGAAAAAGATGGTGTTACGCTCGTGACATGCTGATTATTCGCCTCCCACATTCAAAATATTTCTGTAATTCATACAGGTCATGCACTCTCCATTACGGCCTCTCTGCAGCTCAGTGAATTGAGCGCCTGTCCAGTGTTCGGAAGGTCACAGGTTCGAATCCTGTTAAGGACTCTTTGCCCCACGCCTCTGAACCTTTACATTCACTATCTTTTTTTGTTTTATTGAGAAACAAACCAATTACTATTTTTCAATTGTTATAGGTTTTGAAGGAACATATTACTGTCTTATCACAAGAAAAATCTTAGGCCAAGTTCAAGCGTTGATCTTTTCATGTACCGAGCCTAATACCTATTTAGGTCGACGCAAACAAATGATACAAGTTCGACGGTTGATTCAGACATCGAACTATATTAGTCGGACCTAATTCATTTACACGATGCCCAATGGTTTAAAAACTTACAAGAGAAATTAAATTTTAGTAATTTATGCTTAAGGTTCGGCACACGAAGTCGCTTCACAGTCGAAATTCCCATGTGGGCCATTCGATCTTAATTCATCTGTCGACCCAAATTAGACATCTCGGATTTAATCGATTCAAACGTCGATCTCTTCATGTACTTAATTGGAGGGATTAGGTTCGGTACATGAAAAGATCGACGTTTGAACTGGGCCTTACGCTCCTCAACACGGAATGTTTTTAGCGCAAAAAGGTGGAAATATTTTATGTTCCTTAAAGAAACAAGACCTCTGACTTTTTTAAGTTTGAAGACCCGGTTAGCCCTCTCGCACTACTATTGCGAACATATTGTTAAGGTCGTCAAAGGTCTCCTCACGTACTTCATATCTGACCTGTGATTAAAGCCTGTAGTATTCTTATACTCACGGTATGGCTGTTTCAGTAATATTGCCAATAATCTGTTGACCGACCATGATGATCACCAGTTGAATGCACAAGTCCAACAGACACCCCCCTACACCACACCCATCCAACCGGTTTCCATCCCTGCCTCCTATTCTGCGGTAGTTACCGGGTGTGCCGATCACCAGGTTCAACTTGAAGAAAGCAATGTAAAATATGGACGAATAGGTGTTGACAAACTGGAATAGAAACATCTTGTAGGTGAAGCTGTCTTTGTAGTCCGTTTCGGTGCGAGGGTTCTCCCAGTTCGTCAGCCAGAGGGCTAGACGTTCGTAGAAAAACTTCAAAAGATTAATGCAGACCTGAAGAAGGACAGAGAGAAAAAAGAGAATGAGAATGGGAGAGAAATGCATAAAAAAGTATATATTCAAGTGAACGCGCAGAAGTCTCGACTAGTTCATTCAATAAAATATTACTAAAATTAATTTCACAAAAAATGTACAAAATCTTTTAAAACATGGCGACGATTTGACTTTCTCGGAAGTCAAAAACAAAACTTAAAAACAATAACAAAACAAAACAAAACGAAAATCAAAGGCAGCAATCCATGGCTGGGTGGCATGCAAATCCTTTTAATTTTCAGTGGCGATAGCGACTCCTTAACTTGAGGTAAAGCCTGAATCTATATAACTTTAACAAAACAAAGTCATTCATACCAAGTTCAACAAGGCCGCTGTGACACTTGTAAGAATCTTAGCATTTCTTCGTGCCCT